ATAGTTTGGATGAATACTCTTATGATATTTTTATAATTAAGTTAATAATAATATTATATATTTTATATAATTTTAATATTTAAGAGTTATATAGTTTAATAATTTTATAAATTTTATTATTATTATTATTATTATTATTTTTTTAATTCACAATCATGCCACGATGACCTGTCTTTATTGAAAAATTGAAATAAATTTACAATATTTTATAGACTTTTACAAAGTAACCAACTCATCTTCATATAAAAATACTCTAAGTCAGATTTTGGGAACAATATTACATTTCTCTAATAGATTAGTAATAATCTCTATCTATTAGAATTATTGTCAATAGTTTGTTATTGTTATTTGTCTGAAAACCAATAAATTGCTAAGTTAAAAATGAAAAGGGGAAAAATAATTGGGAAAAGAGAATAATTCAAGACCTATCAAAAAAATCCAAAAATAAAAACAATCTCTTCTCAAAAGAGATCTGCCTGATTGAAATAGTCTTCTTGCTTTATTTGAATCTCAGAAAAAATCTTCTTTTTCACCACCTGTAGCATCGGGTGAGTCAATCCAACTAGTCTTTTATTTAAGTGAGCACCAGATTGAAATATTTCAAGAAAAACATTTAGATCTCAACTTTTTTCATTAAAGCTTTGTTATTACTTGAGAAACTTAGATAAGAGATAGAAGTTTGTAATTCACATTATCCATCACTTGATCTTTTGATGTTATGGAAGTTTTCATTAAGGGACTTAAGCTTTTTGAAGGTAAACATTTCCAGAACCTTCTTTCTAATCATCAATAATATTATTAAAACATGTGGATATGATTAATAGGAGCTTATTTACATTTAAAAAACTAATGTGTTTCATGTTAGCCAATCACTTTTGATGAGAATTTGTGCTACCCAAAATTCAGAGTCAAACTGAGATAGACATAATTCCTCAGAAAACTATGAAAGTGATAGTTCTAAAAGATCTACAAGCAATTAGAAGGGAAAAAATGAGTATTTCTGTCATTAAAAACCTCTATATATCTCTTGCTTCAAAGGTTAGATAGACCTTTAGATACTTCACAGTCAGTTATTTTTCTTTTGAAAACTTTTTTACTATTGTTATCAAAGGTATTACTTGACTTTTCTTGTTCACTAGAAATCAAGTTTTTGAGTGAAGAAATTTGTAAACAAAAGAAAAAAGGATAGAAGCGACTCTTGAAGTCATACTTCAAGTTGTTTTAAATAAAGTATTAAGACTTTATTAGCAAGGAGATATAAAAACTTCTTGCAAACATCTTTTTTGTATGTGGTCAGAGAATCAATGAAAAGAGGTTTTTTTTATATATATTCCGATAATATCATTGGTGATTGAAAGAGAAATCAAGGATACAAAGCAAAAAAATTATGAGGTCATTAGGATAGGCATCAAATTCTCTAGGTAATGAAAAGGTGGTTATTTGTTCAAGTCAAGATCTTCAATTTCTTATCATCCCAGTTAGACAAAGAGATTATTTTCTTATCCTGGTCAAGTTATAAGATTGAAAAGCAAAAAAATATAAAATACTGCCCTTCTTTAGGATTGAGATATATTTTTTCAAACATTGTGTAATAATATCATAATCAAGATAAATACCAATAAAATTTTTTTAACTAGACATAACTGTTGGAAGATATTGGGAGTTACTTAACAAGACTAAAAGTTATATAAGAATCTAGGATTCACTGTTAGTCATCTTCTTCTACATAGGTGGATACAAAATCAAGACTGAAAGAAAGAAAGTGTTAAGCAAGACATTGGATTTGAGTAGGGGATAAGTACCTCAGACGGTCACAAGAAAATAATCAAAAGCATGGATGAATAAGTTCCTCAAATAGTCAGGAAGAAGAAGAGTATCCCATAAAGGTTGACTTTTAATGAGAAGAGGTTTTTAGCAAAAATTCTTTGGAGGATATAGATTATTTTTAATTTTCTTTTTTTCTTTTCATTTTCATGTAATGCATTTGCACATTTTTAGATATTCCCCTTTCCTTTATTTTTACTTTCCCCTTTCGTAATTTCTCAAATTCAATTCCTTGAAGGATAATAAGTAGTGACAACCTGCTGGTAATGATGGATAAGTTAGGAAGGTCTTCACCCAAAACTTAATCCAGAATGAAATATTGTTCCCAAGATTGCACTTAGAGGTTGAAGCTCTTTTGAGAATTGAAAGCCATTGATGAGTGTGTCAGTATAAGTCTTTTAGTTTAACCATGATGCAATTGCCCTATGCATCTCTATCGGTTTTCTTAATGATTAATAAACACGCAGTACTGGCCTGACCATGGGTTATAAAAAAAAAAAAAAAAAAAAAAAAAAAAAAAAAAAAAATAAAAAAAATTTTTAATTCAACCTGATTGCGGAATGAATAGAATTCAGATCAATTAGCAGATATAAATTGTTAATAATAGAGTTTTAACAGGTTATGTCTCAGGGTAACGGTCCATCGGAAGTTCCCAAACGTCACGTCGCTATCGTTGGCGGTGGTCTCGTTGGGGCCCTAGCCGCGCTCTATTTCGCACAACGTGACTGGAATGTGAATCTTTTTGAATCTCGCAAAGGTATATATATGAACAACCCACCTTTTGATCAGTTGGAGTAGTTCTTATCTTGCCTATCTATGTTTCGAATAGACCCTCGACTCTCAGAAAATAAAGATTCAATTTCTCAAAGGTCTATTAACCTGGCATTGTCCACTCGGGGAATAAGTGCGTTGTCAAAAGCAGGTTTGGGTCTTGACAGAAGTGTGTTGGGAGTAACGACACCGATGAAAGGAAGAATGATTCATGTGGGCAAAGGTAAGCTTAAGAGTCAATCCTATGGCAACACCTACGAGGTAAAGAAGAAAAATCTTGTATGGATTTTTAATAATATGCAAAATAGATACTCACATCGACGCGTTCTTTGTAGAACATATATTCCGTGGAAAGAGAAGTTCTTCTGGAATTACTTCTTAACGCTGCTGAAATTTTCAGAAACGTGAAGTTCTTTTTTCAGCACACATTAAAACGTTGTGATCTCGATGTTGGATTACTCGAGTTTGAGTAGGTGGTAAATTTAAACACAGGTTATGCAGATAAAATTCAGTATACTCAGCATTCTTTTTTGATAATTTTCATGTTTACAATAGGTTGAGTAATAAAATGGTTCAATATACTGCAGATTTAATCGTGGGCGCCGATGGCGTCCATTCCATTGTTAGAAATCAGATGATGCGCAAAGTGAAGTGTGTTGTGAATGGTGACTTGCTATTCTATAATTTGTTCAAGTTTTAAAGTTCACGTTTAACATAGCATGGATTACCAGCAAGTATATATTCCACACACTTATCGCGAATTAACCATTCCGCCGAAAATTAACGAAAGAGGGGAGGAAGAATTTGCCATGGAACCCAATCATTTGCATATTTGGCCTAGGCATACCTTTATGATGATTGCTTTACCCAATAAGGTTTGTTGCTATTGTTTTAAGTTGCAAAAACACGCTCTATTAAACAACTTTCTTTTCTTTTCATGGTAGAATAAAACTTTCACTTGTACCCTTTTCATGCCAAATGAGATGTTCGAAAACATAAAAACAGAAGATGATTTGATCAAATTCTTCCAAAAATACTTCCCAGATTCCGTCCCTTTGTTCGGACAGCAAAGACTTAAAACGGAATATTTTCGCAGTGGATCGGGCTCGTTAATGTCGATTAAGGTGCGTATCTTGCATTCACGCTCTTCGATCACGTGTATCGCATACGTTTTTGTCAGATGGGATCATGTGACAAATTATACATCCTTTTTCTCTTTGTATATTTTTATTTTATTTGGTATTTTATTTTTTTTTTTTAGTGCAAACCCTATCACTACAAGAGCCGTGCAGTCATCATTGGTGATGCAGCTCACTGCATGGTTCCTTTCTATGGTCAAGGCATGAACTGTGGTTTCCAGGATGTCGAATTGCTTAATAGCATCTTTGATAAATTTAACATCACGGCAATATGTGGAGACGATGACAATTTAGCTTTGGCGTTGGAAGAGTTTACTAATTATCGTTATCCAGATGCGATCGCAATTTGTGATCTGGCAATGTATAATTACATTGAAATGCGATCAGGAGTGGTTAGCCCTCTGTATATAATTCGTAAAAAAGTTGAAGATTGGTTACATTGGATGTTCCCTAAAAGTTATTTACCATTGTACGCGATGATAAGTTTTTCAACGATGAGGTATTCCGAAGCAGTGGGAAGGGGAAGAAGGCAAAAGTGGTGGTTGAATGCTATTGGAGTTACCATAGGGATGGGCACGGTCTTTTGGGGTTACCGATATTTATATCGGAGCAGAGCAGTTTTTGCGTTCAAATCTATTTTTTATAATAAAAAGTAACATTTCACATTCACCAACGTAAATTATTATTATCATATTTTGTAATCCATTATATATATAATGTTATGTCCCATCATAAATTTTTATTGAAACTAAATCGCTAGAGTAAACATTCAGCTCCCAACAGTAATCCTATCAATATTTTGATTCGATTTGATAACTTTGGTGAATTGCCGTTTGAGAGAGAAAATCTGTTGAATGACAATGCTTTTTTTTTAGTGGATTTTATTGTTAGCTCGGGATAGCAAAGAAAAAAAAAATCTTGAGAAATACCCAGATCTCGAACTTCAATATAAGCGCTGAGGTCGACCCATAGTAGATTTAATGTGCAAGCTTTTAACGTTTTGCCAATTTTTCTTGAGTAAAGAAATCAAGAAATTGACGCTCAACATGATGTTGGCAACTAATTCATCTTCACTCATTTGAACATGACCAACCGCCACACCAAGGCATAATACTTTTTTCAACTGAAATTTGATTGTCGAGCGCAATTCATCAGCTTTGGCGTTCAAATCATCATTATGAGTTACCGGAGCGGGAAATTTACCAGCTAATTAAAGAACGAGAGGTTATAAAAGGGGGTTCCAAGATAGCAGATGGAATATATTCGAACTTGCCTTTATGCAATCCGGGACCCAACAACCTCGGAATTAACCTAATCAAACTTTCGCTTGCCAAGAATGCGTCGTACTTTTTAGCAAGTTTCTTAATTTGTTTCTTATTCTTATTAAGTTTTTTAAGATCTTCTTGGCTCATGAAGTCCAAGCCAATTTCTTTGGCGCGATCGCAATCATGTGCGTCACCAAGAATGACTACGGACATTTTCGGACGTGGAATGTTTGGAAGTCTGGTGAGTGAAGATTATGCAGAATTGAGACGACAGAATACAAAAAATTAAGAGTCTGTCCGAAATGCGTTGAACCTGAGACGTTTTTTAATTTTTACTCACTTCACAGTCCCGTTGAAACGTTTGTCCTTTTGAGGATCATATCCTTTAAGGCCAATTTGTAGTTCCACCGTCTCGATAAACTTGCGGGATTTTTCCTGGGATTCAGTTAAAACAGTTCTAATTGACTCTCTCACGGCTGCCACTTGAATTTTACTTTAATTATCAAAAACGTGATAATGGAAATGCGAGAATGAGGAGCGATTGAAAACAGGTAACGTCATCGTAACTAAGGGTACAGACAAACCTCATGATGTTTGATGCGACGACTACTTTCTTGAGAAGGAAAAAAAAAAAAAAATTTTTTTTACCTTTAACATATTTATCTCTGTCACGTGACATCGATTATCAAATAATTTTTTTTTTTTTTTTTTTTTTTTTTTTTTTTCGCGGGAATTAGTAAAGAAAAAATAGGCAACCTATACCTATCACTCATCCACTAGAAATGTGTGCGCAACTGTCTCACAAACTTTTATGGTTTTAGCTGTGAAACTATTTTCACCTATAAATTAAAATTATGGTATATCATCTGACTTCACAACTATAACCAACTTCCAAAAAAATATTTTAAAACATGATTATTGTCGTTTTAACGACTTTAAAAACATCTCTGAAAACAAAAGGGTATGACTTTCCTCGGGATTTGTTATTTTGGACAGGGCGGCGATAATCTTTTGTCCTCTTTATCTTTAACTCATTAATTATTTTTCTGAAGGTAATGGCTGAAAATCGAAGACCCGACAATGTAATCTACCCCGCTCCACAACCAATTCCCGAATACTTAAGAAGGCGACTGGTACAAAGATTTTCCTCAGATGGACGACAAGAGCACCGGAGTAATATACCCAACAATGTTTCAAATAATAACGTCGGTGTCGTCAAAAGCAGAGATAACAATGGAACCAATGGTGTAAATCATTCCGTTACTCCAAGGAGTCGTCAGACAAATGGATACTTGAGCGATGAAGAAACAACTTCCACTTTAAGCGAATTGCCTTCGTCAGATCATGAGTCTAGTTTGGATGGTTGGGATAATTATCAAAATTCCGCGGTCGGAGGTTCACCAGAAAATAATCAAAACGGTCTTGACTGTTCAGACAATGATCAAAATTCAAATATTGATGAGTCGGAAAATAACCAATATTCAAATGCCAATGATTCCGACCAAGACTCAATAGAACCTTATTATGATCACGACTCTCCGAACGAAAATAACACCACGAATGGAGTAATGCTCAAAGACTCGGCGATATCTCCATTCACACCCTCCC